TGGCTTAGTTGGTATAGCGTCTGGCACGGTATGCAAGAAGACGTCGGTTCGAATCCGACCGGATTGAAGGAATTTTTTCTGAGTGTTTTATCTGAGTGTTCGATCTTTGTATTAATAGTTATAACAAACTAGTGGAGTAATTTCACAAAAAATAATTGAATATCAATTCAATAAAGATTTAATCAAATTAATCTTTTAGGCCTTGGGAAAGGCGCGAGTCTAAAATAATAATATGGGTAGAATTTATTTAATCTGTGCATGATCAGCTATTTTTGAAGTTCCCTGTACCACATCGGTTCAATACTAAAGCATTTTTTTAAATAATTTTATATGACGTGACGAACAAGTCGTGTGTCTGGTGGAAAGCGTCACGCCTGTCCCTAACAGTTACAGTGTCACTCAGAGCTTTAAATTACAAAGACCTGAGGGGCACTGCCACTGCGCCCGACACCCTGAGACATAAGTTGACAAGTCCCGTGTGCTTGTAATTTCACCAGCACCCTTACCCTTCGAAACCGGAACGCAGTAAAGTTCACATTACCGCTTGGCGGCAGAAATAGGTAAGGTGGCAGTACTTCCCTGGACGAATTCTTTCACAAGACGCTCCACTGCTACGAACGTGGCTTAGAGTTCAATTTTAACAAACTAAATGTGCTGGTTACCGAACGAAGGTAAACAAATGGATTAAATATCACGTGGAATATTAATAACTTGCAGTTGTAAGCATTCGCAGTAACACTACCCTTTGTTTGGTTTAACTTTTAACTTTTGCATTATGCACAAGTTCAACTTGGAACTTTAAACTGAAATCAATCTATTATTTTGCTTCCTTTTTAACCGAAGTCAAGAAAAGGACCTCTCAATTCGACTGTACATTTTTGTATGCATCTTACGTGATTGATTTGTCAACGGATTTTAATTTCTCCTAATATATCTTTAAATTACCTCTGAGGTTCGCAAACTACAGAATGAATCCGGTTTCGGGCATTGAGGTAGATTTTTTTAAATATAAAACGTTCAACAAACGTATTTTATATCATAACATAGACTTTACTAATCAACTTTGTTTGTCAGATAGTACTCTAAAAGTCCGCTAGATGGCATTGACCCTTTTTACTTAATTCCTGCATCGCGGTGTTATTATCCCTCGGATGGTGACTACTTGAACCGAATTTTATTTAGGTGACAAACACTAGTAGTGCGATTCAAGTTCAAAATATCATTGAAGTTACGTAGTCGTTCGATAGAAGTCCTATCCAAAATTTCGATTAGTCGATAGTCGATTTAATTTCGATTCATATACCAGAATACGCTTTAACGACATTTGGATCGAACGACTTTAAAATTGGACTCATTTACGTTCACTGTCACACGTGAATACGAAAAAGTAGTTCAACGACTAAATCGTAACGGTTTGATTACGTGAATAACTCCCCTGTACTATTAATACGTATCTAGGAGTTGAAACTTTGTGGGAACGACGGCCTGGACTTGGTACTTTTTGCATTTGTACATATAGGACTGCTCTCGTCGGTTACAATTTACTTGGCACCTTGTATACTTTTGGAAATAAAACCTGACATTTTACTGGAAGCTTTTTTTTTTTACTCAATTTGGTGACGTCATCAAGTAAGAAGAGAGCCCTCTCTACAAACGTTAAGAGTTCCTCCTGGGAAGTACTGCCACCTTACCTATTTCTGCCGCCAAACATTCTCCGATCTTTGCGTTTTAAAGCGCTGAGTTCTGTTATTGTAAACCAGGCATTATCCGTTCCGTCACTTGGTTTTAAAAAAAAATACCGACCACAAAAGTTTGTGGAATTATTTTCCAAGTTTTATTAAAATTGGTTACGTCAATCTTTTTTCATTCATTCTTTCTCCGTGTCCTAACCATCGAAAGCTTCCCTTTCTCTATATTTGTCACTACATCATCTTCCTTGACGCAATACTTTCGTATTTTATTACACTGTTCTGAAATGTATCCATCAGAGTGTCATCCAGCCATACTTCCCAAAAAAGGAAATTATAACAAAGAATATACATAATCTTATGTCCTGGCCTGCCAGGGCATCAGAGATCGGATGACGAGCTTAAACTGGAGCTGGGCGGGATATGTTGCGAGACGTGGTGAAGACAGGTTAGGCGATAACCGAATGGTGGCCAAGAAATAGATATAGAAACATGTGACGTTCTGTAGCGAGATGGATGTACGACATTGTCAAAGTTTTGGGTAGAAGATGGGTGATGGTTACCTATCCGTCCGAAATGACATTTTCCAGAAATGGCGTTTGGTCGAAATTTCATAACCTCGAAAGTAATTTTGAGAGGAAAACGTTTTTTCTTTTAAACCTAAGTTAACCTAACCTAACCAAACATAATCGTGTCTTTGCGATAAACATCCAACATATCCTGAAAGAACAACTGTTTCGTTATAATTCGGTTTTCGGTGTAATGAAAATTCGAACAAACGTTATTTCGGACAAAAAATTTTCGACTTTGTGATTGGTTACCCGGGCTATGGATGATGATGATGATGATAAAGAAAAAAAAATCATAATAAATAATAAACATAATAAAATAATGATTTGACATAAATCTCGTTCTAATTAAACTACTTACATGTCGATTCTATAGTTTTGCACGTTCTATGTATCTTTGTTAATTGTGTATATCAACATTCATGTTAGTGATTCAAAGGACTAAGTCACATTGAAATAAGCAACTACTTACTTATTGTAGAATAATTTTAGGACTCAATCTTTATCGTTCAATATTTCAACTGTACCTACTCAAATTTGATATTTTTTCTCATATTAAGTGAGAAAATAAATATTTAAACCTATTTTGAAACAGCTTAGCAGATGTTCATGATGAAGTGGATAACGAAGTGCATTAATTCCTTGAAGCTTATATAAATATACAGAGTCTATTCCGATATATCAGATAATAAACCATTCAATTTTTCAACGAAGATGCTACCGACTTTCAATTGAACAAACTCACGCTCTACATAAAGACGTGTAAACAAACGTATAGGGCCATAACCGCACTCAAATTTCATCTGGTATATTAGGTAGTAACATAAAAAGTTAACATTGACATCGAATACATTCTCGAATGCTGTAAATTCGTCAAAAAGCATATGCACCTATATTCCGCAATTACAATTTTTCTATCGGACACATTTCGGGGAGTTTGCGCAGGAACTTTTCAATTTAGTTCCACCCTCACCTTTCCTCCTTCGGTGGACTAGAAGGTCTGGAACATTCCATCATTACGTCGTTGATATACCACCTCCTTTCTCCTTTCTGATGCGTACAGCAAAGGAATGTAATACACTACCGGCGTCTGTGTTTCCCGAAAAGTACAGTTTGGGGTTATTCTAGGATGGCGGGAATAGGCATTTTTTAGGCAAACACGTACCATCGTCGCTTAACATCAGGTGAGATTGTGGCCAAGCGTGTATCTACTATATATTTTTTTTAAAACAGAAAGAGGAAACAAAAGAAACTTAGATAAATTAAACTACCCACATCTACTCTCAGTCTGTGCAGACCCACATTCAATGGCAATTCTAAATTATAGAATAAGAAAAATTATCGACATTTACTTACTGCCCATTTAAAAACGTACTAACGCATTTTATAAGTTACACGAAATATTCAATAAAAGATAAGTGCCATTTTTCTAGTCCTTAAATAGGTTCTTACATAATAAATAAAAGGTTATTTAATTTTATGTCATAAGAAAATAGGAATAATTGTTAGGTAGTAATTTATAGTGATACACGCATTGACTTACAAATAAATGGACGACGGGTCTAATACAAAAACCACGAAAAAAATGTCCCAAGTCAACCTATTTAAACGTAGTGACATGTAAAGGAATATGAATAAGCTAAAACGTTGAATTTAAATTGTAATGTCATCGCAGTACTGTCTATTTTTGCTTGCTTCGCTGTCAGTCGAACAAACGAAGACTAAAGCGTGAATGACGCTCTGTATACGATTTTAACGCCCTATAAGTTCGGACACTTTTTAGCGCGGACCCGACGTCCATATAATTGTATGTCAATGGATACACGTAATTATATTTGTAATTAATAATTTGTAGTGCTCTCCTGATTTTGCGGCGCCCTTGCAGGGTGTCAAATGTGTGATTACTCTATTATATTTTTTCTAGCCAAATACAAGATTAATAAGTAATTTACATTTCACTTAATCTAATAAATAAACAAATTATACTAAGAATTCACCCGCTGGCAATTTTCTTATCGTCTATTAAGGCGAAGACACTTTTGTCATCTAATCTTTTTATTCAATGTCACTGGCACTAATTAATTTAATCTTACATTTAACACTACACTAGTTCAGATGGTTTTGTCCGTTTTAATACTACCTTGTCTACGAATTCCATATCCTAGTCTCGATGGAGGTCTTCGTTTCGTACGTACCAAGGGGCATTCACCAGCCCCAGAGCTGTATACCATAGGTCCAAACTGGCATTAGGACCTGCCTTTACAATAATAGTTTATTGCTTACAGATAGTGTAGATTGTCTATGGATTCAATCCAATGGAGATATGACAATTTGAAGTTTAATAATGCTTCTCATTCTTTTTTTATATTGAAGACTTATAATATCATGTGAATATGTCTATCCAGAGATATTTTATTTATGTTTGTATGTTGGATTGTTTTTGTTAATCTAAGAGACTTGGAGAACCGTTTGGTATCTAATTTTTTTTGACAATTGTGTGGATTGTACGCTTTTTGCATAACTACGTCCAATTATCCTGTACCAAGACGTTAGTTTGTCGGAAAAAAGAACAAAGAAAAATGTTTCATTTCCTGCTGCACAATTATATTTACTTTAGTTGCTTAGCTATAAAATTAGAACTGATTATTTTTCCGAAATTTAATTTCAACCATATGTTAATAAGTATTAATCTATACAACACAAAACCACAATACATCAGTTGATAATCCTATAAAATACCCACCTCACAAACGCACGCGACCTGCTCCTGTGTGAAGCCAAAACTCGGCAGGGGGGCGTCTCTAGGTGGGGTGGCCTCCCGCTGCCCCCACTCGGGACCCCCCCAGCATGTCCAGATGCTCGTCTCCAGCCACTTTGACACCACAATTTTACACTACAACTATTAAAAATATACTATTTTTAAATTATTAAGCGTAACTAGATTTGTTAAATAACTATTTTTTTATCAGAATTTGAGAACACGGTCGTTAAATCCGCGCCTTCAATAGCCCGCCTAATTCGCTATTTGAAATTATTCAAAAAAAGAAAATGCCTGAGTACGTTTTTTTTTTAATTGTACGTAAGTAGTCAATACGGTAAATGCGATTGTGTTCCGTTTGTTCTTTCACCGTTTTGTTTTTTAAATCCTCTTTAAAGGCAGCTAAATAAACAGTCAAAGGCAGCAGTCCCAAAATGTTTAAACAAAAGGAATCATCCTTAAACGCCGATTACTTATTTGTGTTAGGGTTTCGAAAAGTTCCGATGTTTGTACGATAATCCGAGTAAGTTGTTTTTAAGGTGCACTTTGCTTTCGTATATTTGTGTTGCTTTTTAAATATTTGACCAGCTCAGAAGTATATTTCTTTTTTTTACTGTCCAGTCTCTATCTGGCCGGTGTGTTTATAAAAAATATTTATGTAAATTCCGATTTTTAGATTTTAGTTTTTCCGTATAGGTATTTTTAAATGCACTTCACTTTGTTTTTCTCTTCTTTTTCATTTTAAATTATCACCAAAAGAACACGGAGGCGTAACTGCAACAAAGAAAAATATATTAGATTTATTAAACAAGAATATCAAAAATTTTTCTAAACATTTGTCAATTTCTTAACACTATCGCACCTAAAATCAGTTTTAGGGTTCACCACCATCAATTTTCGTGTATTTTTATCGCACCAGAATACCATCACGTACTTTGAAGTATTACAAAGATTCACTGACAAGACAACAAAAGATTCACTATAAAAAACCTTTTTTTGAAAAACAATCGAAAGTATGCCTTAGTTTTTGTATTTTAACGTTCAAGATTCTTACAAGGCTACAATGTTGAAAATAGTGGCGTCTCTTTCTGTTTTATTGGTTTTGTTTTAGTGTGAAAAGGACGGGTTAGGGTCGTGAGGGGGCAACATGTTAAATGTTTGGTGTTTTAAGTAATTTTTATCATCGACACGATCGCGAGGGAGGCCTCGCTGATATATGGAGCTGACGGGTGGCCAGTGCTGTCTCATCGATATATCGAATTATTATTAAATATCAATTGCAATTTTTATTTCGGTGAAACAACTTGACTCTTTGATGTAATTATATATTGTGAGGTTTTCACTCTAAGGCGACGATATACATAATTTGTTTCATGTAGTTTTTATTATGTTTGTGATTTTCATGTGATTCTTCTTCTTTTTATTAGAGTACCTCTTCAATGCTGAAGGTTGGCCGTCAGCTTCCTGTATCCGTCTCTATCACCAGCCAACCGAAACAGCTATTGGACGGAAGCATTGCTGGTCCACTCCCGGATGTTCCGCAGTCACGATTTCTTTTTTCGCCCAGCACGTCTCTTTCCCTGCACTTTGCCCATCATTATTAGCTGTAGCAGCTTGTATTTATTGTTCCTGGTCACTTGACCAAGATACTCTATTTTGCGCCTTTTGATAGATGGCATCATTTTCCGGGACATATGAACACGCTGAATCACGGTTTCGTTCGTGACCCTCTGTGTCCAACCAATGGACAACATGTGACGGTAGCACCACATCTCAAATGCCTGCAGGCGTCTTGTAGTCTCTTTTCATGTGATAACTTTTTTATTAAAAAAAAACGGACTTGAATATTTCGTGGAATTATACACCTATTTGCCAAGTTTTATTGAAATCGGTTATCGGAAAGTGCGTGAAAGCGGATTAATCCCCTAGTTTGCCACCCTTAGATGTGGAATATTTTCTTCAAATTTAAATGAAATCAATATTGAGGTACCCTCTTTCCAACTAAAAAAGAATCATCAAAATCGGTTTACAAATACCGGAGTAATTGTGTAACATACACGCAAAAAAAACCTCCTTTCTTTTTTGATGTTACATCAAAGGTACAAACATATAGATGTCTTATGTCTTAGCACTGGACAAGTTCCTAATGTGACAGTTCTTCAGCGCGTGAGTGAGAGGAGGGACCGAGAACTCCTGCAGATCGTCAAGAAAAGGAAAGTTGCGTATCTTGGACACGTTCTACAGCATGAAAAGTACCGACTTCTCCAACAGATAATGATGGGCAAGATCGAGGGTAAACGACATACCGGAAGAAGGAAGAAGTCGTGGTTGAGCAACATCCGGGAATGGACCAATATTGCCAGCGTATAACACCTGTTTCGCTTGGCTCAGGACAGGAAAGAGTTCTCCAAGCTGACGTGACGGCTAGCCTCCAGTAGTTGAGAGGCGCTACATGATGATGATGGACAAGTTCAGTCTCAACTCGTTTGTTTGGATTGAAATTTTTAGTCCAAACCAGTTTTAAAAATTGAGCTATATGTGTATTCGTAAGGTATCCAATGAAACCCATTTGGTCGGTCGCCAACTTGCTTTAGTTGTCAATATTATTTTTACTGAATGATTTTCGCTCTATGGTACTAATTTTAACTTATGAGAAAATCAAAGTGATAAGTTAAAATGTTGAAGAATAGTTTAGTGCGTTTTTAAAACACGCGGCGTTCATTTACTTAATTCTATCATTTGAATGAAGAATATCAATAAGAGAGCTGAATAGATCTATTTTTTATTATTGACTTATTTACATTCCCTTTTAAAAAATAATTACTCTCTGTTCGTTCATATGTATTGTGAACTCTTCGTTGTAAAATTAACTTTGCAGTTTGGACAATAAATCCGTAATTACAATACATGCCTTTTAGTGTAATATAGAAAAAATAATACTTTCGAACATATTTTGTGCGATCCTGAACAATTTTTGTAGCCCATTGAATCATCGACACACTTTGTATTATTTATTTTTAATGACTATCATGATGTTTTTATTGCCTTAATATTATTACTTTCTAAATACTCTACTAGTTCGTAATTATTATTGACACAAAGATCGAACAATCATAAAGAACAAATCCTTTAATCCGATTAGACACGAACCAGTTGCCTTACTGTGACTAGATGTTATATTATTGTTATTAGGTTTCCGTTGCGAACTTGGCGGCAGAAATAGATTCATATGGCATAGGTTGCGTCTCAATCATAACATCTAGAAATCTATAATACACGAGTAATAAGATAATAATAATTTAAAATAAGGAAAGACAATCTGTAATCCATTACACTAAATTTTAACTTGATAAACATTTTCATCGATAACATAATGTCACTCACTAGCGCCCCACGTGGCGCGATGGTTATCTCACAGCTGTAAAACACAAGATTTATCGACGGATTATCGAGCACCGATAATGGTACAAATCACCGCACTATTAGTGAACAGATCATTGATTGTGATTATTATATTTGGGGCTTGTTTTTGAATAATTTTGAAAATAACTTTTGTTTGTCTTTTATTCCATTTTTTTTTTATATGTGCGTTAGACAACTACATCAATTTCCTGGTTTCAAGGCAGAGAGTACCAGAGCACTACGCTAAACACTGATTCAGTTTAGAAAATTTCATTTCCCAAAACAGTTCTACCGGGAATCGAACTTCAAAAGTAACTAAAAGCTACTATAGCGATAATATGAAGTTAGGCTTAAGTATGAGTACATGACAAAAAGTGTAAGGCAGGGTAAACTAGTGCAGTTTAAAGCAAATAACTATTATGGAAAAAGACGTTTTTTTATTAAAACATCAAGTGACGGGACGAACAAGGCGTGCGCCTGATGGTACACGCCTGTCCATAACATTTGCAGTGCCACTCAGAATTTTAAATCGCAAAGACTTGCGGGGCACTGCCTCTGCGCCCGTCACCCTGAGACATAAGTTGACAAGTTCCATGTGCCTGTAATTTCACCACACTTTACCCTTCAAAACCGGAACACAGTAATGCTGATATTAGTGCTTAACAGCAGAGGTAAGGTGCACTAAAATGTAGGTTAAAGGTGTACATTTTAAAGTAAATTTTCTATTATATTCAATAAGTATAATTTATACTATGTAATAGTATAGTAAAATAAGTATAATTAAGTAAGAATGTGCATGTCGCCAACAAATTGCACAGAGCTTTGGCGACTTTTAGTAATTTAAGTTACCTGCTGTATTTTTCTTGAATGATAAATTTTTTTAAAAGTACGCAGGACCTCCTCATTGCTGAATGCTCTTCATTGCTCTGTGGGCCAGCGCCCACACAACACTTGGGCCACGAATGTTGTCAATCGATTGCTTTTCTAAGAGCAGTTATCTATTGCCATTGCCTGCTAAAGCTCATGAAGAGAGTTGTAGTCAATATTTGTATTTTTGCTGTGTTGAAAACAATTCTTAACTGCCTCTGTGGCCGAATAGTTACCATGCCAGACTGCCACGCAGAGGTCCCGGGCTTAATTCCCGGGCCGAGAGAAATATTTCTATGGCCTACATTAATAAATCTCGTGAGTTTGGGTGCAATTTTTGGTTGTCTATGTGTATGTCCACGGCACCCGCGATACAGGGTTTCTTATGAATAAGTTAGGTTAATACGAATATTGATGCACCATTGTCGACTTCATGGTCATTTTCCATCAGGTGAGGTAGAGGTTAAATGCCCAATACTCATTTTTTAATAAAAAAAAAATGAATATTGCTCTACAATTTCAGAGCATGTCAACCATGTCACGCGTAATAATTTAATTTACTGCGTAATAAGTAACGATAGAAAGTAACACTCGGTCCACATCATTTATTCTAACATATATAACAGTAGGGAAAAGGTGATGGAAAAGAAAGAAGAAAAGAACAAGCTGTAACAAAAACAATGGTATAAAAACCAAATTGGACCCTAAAAGGGCCTGTATTCGTATGAAATTCAACAACAACAATTCACACATTCTTACCTAGGGAAACCCTGCACCGCGGGTGCCATGGATACACACATAGGTAGACAACCACAAATTACACCCAAACTCACGGGAGAAATAAATGTAGGTCATTTAAATATTTCTTCCGGCCCGGGAATCGAACCAGGGACCTCTGCATGGCAGTCTAGGGTGGTAACCGTTCGACTACAGAGGTAATTATTATATAAAAAGTTTAGGTTTACATGATAGAAGGTCTTTTCTCCTGGAGAATTTTGATAATGACGAAGAAGAAGAATTAGAGAACGATTCAAAATTTCAAAAGTAAGTGGCCAGGAACCGGGTGATAAAAAGGTGGGATTACCATGAAAGAGGTCGCAACCAATTCAAATTTTTTTTAATCTAGAACTTTTGCCTAAAAAAAGTTGATGCTTACAAAAACCTTAAAAGTGAGGATTAAACAAAAAAATATATGCTATTAAAGGTAACCTATCACAAACTCTTTTTCAAAATTTCTTTCCCGAAATAATGTTTACATTTACATTTACAATTTTCATTACATCGAAAACCGAATTACAACGAAACCGTTGTTCTTTCAGGATATGTTGGATGTTTATCGCAAAGACACGATTAGGTTCATTTAGGTTAGATTAAGTTAGAGGAGGCACGGGTCCCTCAACTACCGTCTTGTGCAGGTGATCACTGGACACGGCTGTTTCGGTGACTACCTGCACAAGATCGTACGGAGAGTGGTGACCCCGGAGTGTCACGAATGCGGCGCTGCTACAGACTCGGCGAGGCACACCTTGGAGGTATACCCGACCTGGAGCCAGCAGCGCCGGGATCTCGTAGACGTGATGGGACGAGACATAGAGCCATGCTGGGAAGCGACGGCTCTTCGCCGACCGCCTGCGTCCCATCAGCGAAGGCCAGCAGGTTGCAGGGTTGGGAGACCCTGCCCCTGCATTGCATGGTAGATGCCCCAAATGTTCCGGGGCATCTTCGTGCAGGTCGCCCACATGATTAAGGGGGGGTCCGTCGTGAGGTTTTTAGTGGGTATGCTCTTGGGGACCGACATAGTCCACAGGAGAGAGTCCCACATATGCCCGTCGTGTCCCAACGGCGAAGAATGCGTAACACAATTTCCTCACGGTAATAAAAAAAAGTTAGGTTAAGTTAGGTTTAAAGAAAAAACATTTTCCTCTCAAAATTACTTTCGAGGTTATGAAATTTCAAGCAAACGTTATTTCTGGAAAATGTCACTTCGGACCACTGATAGGTAACTGCTATTAAAATTAAAACAGATAAGAGTAATTTTAATTTTAATAACATAAAATTTTTGGTTTTACATTGCACCAACACTTTGACAAACGTAAATTAGGTTAAAAAATTAAGGCAAAAAGCTTTAGAATAAAAAAAACTTTGAATTTGGTTTACGTGCACTGATATTGTGGTGCTAATATATAGTTCTCATTCTCCTTTTTTGAAGTCGGTTAAAAAAAAAGCCGTGATAGCTAATGATTTGACCAACCGTCTCTCAAGCAGAAGCCGTAGGTTCGAGTCCGGGCACGAACCTTTGAGTATATCGGAATTTAGGAGCAAAAATTAATTTGAATTTTTCGGTGAAATAAAGCATCGTAATCATTGACTTACAAATAAATGGACGACGGGTCCAATACAAAAACCACGAAAAAAATGTCCCAAGTCAACCTATTCGAAATTTAAATTGTAATGTCATCGTAGTATCGCGCTGTCAGTAGAACAAATGAAGACTAAAGTGGAGTTTGGCGCTCTGTATACGGTTTTAGCGCCTTACAAGTGCGGACACTTTTTAGCGCGGACCCGACGTCCATATAATTGTAAGTCAATGATCGTAATGGAAACATCGTTGTGCACTTCGAAGAAAGTTTATAATCTTCGGAAAACTGTATTATCCACAGCATAGGCCTACTTTCGCTCCTGTAAAACTTTTCGATCCTGAGTCTGCGTCTCTGGGGTCTACTCCCACTTTCGGTCTAACATCAGTCCGAAACAATTACTGTGAAATAAGTAATACACCACCAAAACAAAAAACAATTCAAAATGTCAAGCATGAAGCTTCATTCTTGTCATGCGTCTTTTGGTCGAGTATCTATTACTTATTTGACAATAATTGTTGTAGTACAACGGAAATAGACCCCCTGGTCCAGGTTTTACCAGCGACTTGTATTATGTCGTCGACGCAACGTGCAATTGGACGACTCGGATTTCTTTCGCCTGTCCTTGGTCAACACTCCGTCAGAGCCTTACTACAATCTTTTAAATAGCAACAAAAAATATTAAAATTAATTTTCTTATACAACCGATTAAT